AATTATAGACGAAGATCGAATCTTAATTCATAGTTATTCTGATAATATAATAATTCTGATAGCATAATTGTACCATCAAATTACAAAGCTTCAAAATTTCTGTTGGTTTTAAAGCGCGCGCGGCGAATCAAGAAATCAGCGAGCATTGAGGTTCAAATAAAGTTCTTCTTACGCTGATTTGTCAACACTATATGAACAACTCGAATAGTGGGATAAGCAGTTTTCTTTGGTACTGGAATTTATTTTCCTCAGGGAAACCGCAACATTTAGGAGGTATATTTTACCAGATAATACTAATTCCTGGTTCACAAAATTATACAACATTGCCCACCCCCCCCCATAAAAAAATTAGTAATTAGAGGACAAATCCTCGTAAATTCATCGATAGTTTTTGATGATAAATCAAAAAAGGTTGAAAAATATATCAATCCAGGAATTCAGCCATTTTAAAATATTATTAATGTAGTATTAAGTATGAATTTTCAAGCTAAATGCAAATTTACCACCTTATGCTAAATGATACAGTCAAATTGACTTCAAATTCGTAATTAGCGACCCAAAGAACCCCTAGAAACATATATGATATGTCATCATCAGTGATATTCTAATTAATGCCACCTAGATCGGGCCCTGGAACCAATGTGCGGCGCCCGGCGATCGCGTGAATCTACGATGCACGAGACGCGCGAAATTGCCTAACCTCTCGGGCGTTTCAACCCACAGCTCTACCACGCTAAGAAAAGAAGCTGTTGGCACTGAACCATAGAATAAATAGACTACGTGAACAGAAGCGAAAGCTCCGTAAGAACCAATGTTAACATTTTTCTTCTCAGAGTCGGTCCTTATTGAAACCAATTTCGAGGTTACCTACAAATAAAAAAGTGGAAAAAAACATTAAATTTTAAGCGAATTTACAGTACTTCTTCGGTTTAACGATAAACAGGTTAAAAGAAAACTCTTTCAATTCCTTAAAACGTATGTATCCGTTATTATTCGACCTCTCCAAAACGTCGACCTACCGCAAACGTAAACAGTACTTATTGAAACAGCCTCCTTTCGTTATGCTTCGTTGACATGAAAATGGCGGTGGCTTTCGTTTCTGTTGACGTTAGTCTCTTTATTCTATGATTGAACGTAAAAAAATAAAAAATTCAATGAAGAAATGAAGAAAAACATGGAAAGAAAGGAAGAGAAAAACGATAGATAGAGAAACATACCTCTGACCAATTAGGAATATCGAACATTCTCACTCCGTTTCAGCCCACCTTCTCCGCGGATGATCTGGGAGCAGAAAACGATTTTATTTTAGGATTGAATTCAGACCATTTAGAATTGTGCGTTGAGAAGAACTGGTAAAAAAAGTTCTGTATGGATCGAATATTGCAGATTCAGAAAAAAGTTTCGATTAACGAATGGAAATTTTCAAATTTACAGAATAAGGCGCATAAGGTACACAACCGACAAATAAGGCTTCATAAAGCTGGAAAGCGACCTAAAAGAAAAGAAATGTTTAGGTTTTGCAAATGAGAGGTCGCTGTGTGAAATTAACAAAGTTCTCACATAAAAACGCATTGACGGAGTTTTTTCCAAGTTTTAGTCCATTACTTGGACCACATTTTGCGATAAAGAACCTTCATTTCTGGCCAATTTTAGAAACAGCATAATATGTGTCATTGGTTTCCCTATGCAGAGAGGTACTTTTATGGAACAGCCAGAGGTAGTGGCTCCTTATTGAAAAATGTAATCCATTTAGTCATTTTTCATTACTCCCTGTATTTTTAACCATTTTTCAATATTTTGACTGTCGAAATTACTTGAATGAAGATCATTTTTCGGAATATTCATTCTGTCAAGAGTGACAGATTTAATTGTAAAAAGCTGCAGCTAAGTGCTTGGTCAGTTTTTTTCAAATCATCTAATTGACAGGCTCAACACAGCAAAATTGCGAATGAGAAAATTAATTATTACGTACGGATTTCAAACACGCCTCTATACCAACTACACGTTTTAGCCAATAATTGATCTAAATAATGAGGAGCATTACAGTGACTAAGGAGGAGTAATTATTCCATTAGGCTTCGTATACAATCATCGGGCAGTGTGTCAAGAGCGTGCCGAGAGAAATGATTGTCATTGGCGGATCCAGCAAATTGGCAACACCGTATTTTCTACATTTAAACCTATGGAAATGTATCGATTCTTGATGGGGCAAGGTGCTTCGACAAGAATCGATTATTTAACACAGCTCTAAATTAGGGAGAGTCAGTGTTGCCAAATTGCTGGTTCCGCCCCCGATTATTGTGATCTAGACTCTCACTATTTGTAGTAAAGTAAGCATAAGACGCTATCGAATTTTTGAGGGGAACCCTAGATCCAGACATAACCCCGACGAACAACAATTATTCGGGGCACATTTATTTTTAAGATCTTTCGTCAGAATGGTGAAATGATGTTGTGTTCGGATACGTAATGGTGGCAAAACTTATGAATATTCAATTTTAAAAGGAAACACTCGACTGAATATCGTCCACTGTATCGATATTTTGAAATTTCGGAGGCATACTTGCCACACACGCGAATATACATTTTTATCATTAGTTGCGTATACCTTGACACGCTGACACTTTGCGAGAATCAATTTACAATATTATAAATACGTCCAGAGTTTTAATGGCTATGTTTTTATTCTTTTAAATATTCTTTCTTAAAGGTGCCAATATCGCCTTTTGACATCAAGAAAACATTAATGCGTTTTCTATGAATACAAGAATGGAGAATTTGCACGCAACTTCTTTATTGCTTAATCTGAAAGAGCTCAAAGAGCTGATTATGGAGTATAATTTTTTTCTGATATGGGAAATACTAAGTAAATAGATTTAAAATTGAGAAAATTCACCGCCTAGTGACGTCTTTAAGCGACTTTTCCCATTTGAACACATGTGTTTAAGCAGAATAGATCATTTTGTCATATCTCCTCATCTCAATGTGTAGTTACGCCCTTGTGTCAGCCAAGCGGCGAATTGTTCAATTTAAGAACGAAAGGTATCCTCGTGTTCAATTCACTCAGTAGTTTCCACGTAAATACGAAATTCATCAATGTTCAAGACACCTGGAAATTCTTCGTTGTCACTATGGAGAAAACTTTGAAAGCCTTCATTTTAAAATGATACACATTTCAAATAATACGACAAATTGTAAAGATGACAAACAACACGATTGTAAAGATTTGAATGACAAATTGTAAAGATATTGAGATACACGTTCAAGTTCGGAAGATTCAATTTCAGTTGATTACACACACATTATTCTGCGATGGAATATAATCTCGTGGGCGGGCTGGGAGTAGTGTGATTATACCATTGCGTGTTGGAGCTGACAAATTATATACCTACTTGACTCTTGACTCCTTTTTTTCGGGGGCACCTCACCGGGACTGCCGGGCTTAGGAAGAACGCCGTATAACC